TGCGTTAAGACTAAGTAGTGGGAGCCTTTCTTGCCCGTCAAGTTTCTCGTCCCCCTTCCGGGCTCTGGAGGGGCTCAGAGTTAATTCTTGGGGTGCCGTTTCTGCAGAGGCCCCAGTGGTGACGGTGAGCAGCAGGACGGAGGCCGACGATGGGACGGAAACTCACGGCTGCCACGTGGATGGCTTCTTCCCCAAGGAGATCGACGCCTCCTGGAGGAGGGACGGGGAGGTCTGGCTGCAGGACACCTTCCGTGGGTCTGTGGTCCCCAATGCAGATGGGACCTACCACTACTGGCTCAGCATCCGAATCGATCCCCAAGAGAGGGACCGCTATCGGTGCCACGTGGAGCACGACGGCCTGTGGAAGCCTGTGGACAAAGCCTTGAAGGGTGAGAGGCTGCAGGGAGGGAGAGGCTGGGCTCTTTTTCAGGGTGGAGGATTGTGGGAGAGAAATTTGACCCCAGCTGTGTCCAGATGTAAGCATCCTTGAGCTTTAATCAGTGGTTTTTCCCAAGTTTGAGGTTTGTGGACCTGCAGGGAACAGTCCGTAGAATCGGCTTCTGGTTCTTGGAAAGAAGCAGCGAAGTCCCACCCCAGTGGTTGGCCCATCCTGAGGAAATGCACCCAGGTCCTCCCTTAGCCTCTCTCCTCCCCTGTTTGCTGCCTCCAGCAGAGGAAGAGGAGTTATGCTCCTCAAACCTGCCCCCCTGAAACATCCTCCAAATCTGCTTCAGTCCTCTGAGGGACCCTCCTGAAGTTGAATGTCACCATATTCCATTTTTTCATCCTGAAATTCTGGAAGCAGAAAATACCATTTTTCACCATTTCTGGATTTGCAACAACTCCACACCCCCTTCCTAGAACTAGGGGGGAGGGTGTGTCTCCCTCTGACACAGACACGCCCCATATACTCCCCCCAAAATGCTACAGTGAAATATCCAGATCACCAGAATTTTGTATTTTTTATTTGAGGTTGATCAGAATGAAATAGGAAACAGATAGACTCAGTTATCTCTGAAAGATGACAGGGTCATCTGGATGTTTCATGGGATTAAAGTTTTATGGTAAATCAGGCATTTTGTCTGGTAAAAGCTCCATCTGGAGGGAGTCAGAGGCCTGACAATTAAGGGGATCCACAGCTGGCTGGAACATCTTCCTCAAGGAGTGTCCATTGATGGTTCCTCATCAGGATGAAGGTATCAGATGGGGGGGCCAGAAGAACCAGTCCTGCA